ATCATCTGCTCTCTACCCTTCCTTCCACCTTGATGTTAAACCCCATTCCGGTATTCCAGGTTTCTTTCAGATGAGTTAAACATGTAGTAGTACAAACACAGCAAAGGCAAGAGATGAAAAATATTACTTCAGAATTCCCCCATCATTGCTTTTGAACTCTTAAATTTTCTTTAAGGTGGTTTTAAAATCTAAAAGGTTAGAAGCTTCAATAGCAGTCTGCGTATAATACTAGATATAACCTAGGTCTTTAAAATCTAAAAACATCAATACTAAGTTATAAATTAAGAAAGAAAAATTAGTGCAGAATGTCAGCTTCTGACAAGCAGTCTCCATAGATACAAACCATTATCTGCTGAGGAAGGACTCCTTACCCCCAAGCCATTCCTTGTACTTTAGCTGTAGCTCAGGGGCAGGAACAGGACCTCCTTCCTTCTTCAATAGCTTGCTGCGGCAATAAGCTGTAACCCAAGAAAATTTAATACCAAATGAAAGTATAATATTGTCCACAGGGTCAAGTCTTCTATTATTGGGTAACTATTTTAAGTTGCCTGGTTTCAAGCAGATAAAACACAGAGAGATTATGAAAGACACAATGCTAAGCTGTTTACGGAGGGCCCATGGGAAGAAAAAAAAAGACAACCAGACGACCACCAGACAGCTAGATGTTTCCGTTTGAACTTATGACTCAGAACTGAGGTACCCCATCAACACACAGCAGAAACTTCACTATTTACTAGTTATCAAATGGTTGCCAAGCATGCTGCAAGGACCGAGGGTTGACCTGGCCCATACATGAGTTTAATAGCACCCTCCGTCTTCAAAAGGTATCTGAAATACAGGCACTTTGTAGGATTACTTTCAGAACATCCTAACTTGAACAGAACTCTATAACAAATAAAAAACCTTTTGCCAGGTGTTCTAATCAAAAAAGGCTCAAGTTTAGAGAAAAACTCTTCACCACTCTACCAGAAAACCAATTGCTTTCTACATTTTAGGAGCTGCTTATCTTTACACTTTTCTACATTTAAATTAAATCAAGTCATAACTTAAACTCAGAATATATAATAAAATTCCTTACCCTACAAAGTACTATTTCAATGAGTTAATGTAAAACACAATCTGCTTTGAGTATTGAACATAAAAATTACTCATCTGTTTAATAAGAACTTAAGATTTCCAAAATAGCCATTTACTTTATTCCTATTAGAAAAATACATACGAGAGGATATATATGCTATTTTATTGTACATACGATCATTTAGCAAGTGAACTAGTTACTAAGCCATTAACCTTTAATTCATGTAAAAACTCCTGAACAGCAGTGAGATTTCAGGAAAAGTATTATCCCAGGGCTTTCATAAATCTAAATATGTCAACTGTGAACACCTTCTGGGTAATGGGCATGAGATGTAATTAGTGTTCCTAAACTAAGCAACCAAGCAATAAGTACTGTGTAGATTTCTTTCCTCAGATTTCTTCTTCCTGTACATCCAAGGCATAAAAAGTGTCTACAAAGTTTTTTCCTAAGCTCCTCTATGTTACACAGTATGTGGGTTTAACATTCATGTATTGGCACTTCAGTCTTTTACTAAGCTAACTGAAATACCAACCTTTAAAGTCTAATTATCAAGTGAAACCAAAGGGCTTCAACCATTTTCCCACTCTCAAGAGAGGGCACTCACCAAATGCACGACCCCTTCTCCTCCTCTACCTCAAAGTTCTCTCTGCAGGAGGGCAGGGTAGAGGTGGATAGAGACCTCACCATCTCACAGGAAGTTCATTTCTTTTTCCATTGTCAGAGAAGGTCTTCCTCATACTGAAATGAGACTACCTGGGACTGCAGCCTTGGTCTCCTTTGTGGCTAGGTCCTTTCACATTACAGCCTTTGAATACTGTGTTTTCCAGAAATGAATAAAACTCCCTTGACGTTCTCTGACATGGGTTTAACAGGACTTTTAAAAATCTTTTTATTCTGGAGACTCTTCTATAAACATGGTCTAAGACTGGTCTAAGCAACTACTTTTTCAAATTGCTTGTCACCCTTAAAAGCCTAGTGTCACAACATCCATTACTTTACTGTCGTATTTCAGAATTTAACCAGACTTTTACCTACTTCTCATGTTAAAGTAGGGAGAAAATGGAAATAATTTTATATACACACATTTTTTTTAAAAAAAAATCAAGCTAAATAATACCTGCAAACACATTTCTTCTTAGGAAGGCTAGTATCTACATTCATAAATGCCCCAACTACAAAAGTACAAAAGTAGATACTCATTATAATCAACTCCCACTTGGAAACTGAGAAAAACATAGTATTGGAATTTCTGAGTGACTAACTGTACAATGGTACAGTTCAATAGGACTTACTCTACATAATACATTCTGAAATCTTTCAATGGGAGTTTCCACAAGTGACTCTGCTACAATGCAGATACTGTGAGAACCCGTATAGGACCTGTACTTTAATTTAAAAATTTTTTAAGCTCAATCTAAAGGAGTCAAACCAAAGTAATGAACAGGGAGAGTGTTCTCCAAAGAGACTAAGGATGCTCTCCAGGCTATGAGAACCACAAAGAGGAAACAGAACAGCTCTGGGAGTCCAAGAAAAGACTGGAAAAACTTTAGTTCTTAACTTCCATATCCACTGTTTAAGTTGCCTAAGACAGCATTTTCCTCAATTCCAAAACGCAAAACTGATTTGGGGGAGGAAAGAAATATACATCGTATTAAAGGGGTAAAGAGATACACATTTCAGAATCTAAAAACGTGAAACTTAGAATTGAGGAGCTTCAATAATACCCTCTTCTTGCAACACAAGCACAAAATGCCTCAGGTTAGAACTGTGGTTTCTCCAGGGCCTGCTACAGGTGTGCAAGCTCAGTCACATTTTTCATTTCATAAGCCTAGAGTCAACTTTTAAAATTTGTTTCCCCCAAATACTCTTCCTATTTTAGAATCCTATTTACCTAAACTGAAAGCAAGAGAACTGGCATAAAACCTGGAAGTCTTTGTGTTTGTTACACATTTACAAGCTACAGATAACGTTTTTGAACAAATAAGTGAGAAGGTTTTTTTTTTTTTTTAATCTTTATTTAGGTCAAGGATCTCAACAGAACTTCACCATTGTTACAACCTTCTGTCTCCTGCCATGGGCCTCTTTCTCCAAGAAGCAATTCACCCTACTTTCTAGGGTGTTCTTTTTTTTTTTTTTTTTTTTTTTTTTTTTTTTGCCCCTTGCCGTCATGTTAACATTTAAGGAAGGTTATTTACTATTTTGACTAAACTGCACTCCGTTTATATGAACTAGAGTAAAAAATGTGTGCTCCACATCCAAAGGCCAGGAGTCCTGGTTATCAGATGACATTAGAAAAAATAAGCCACATGGTAAAAGAAATACATTTAACTAATTGCAGCCATGTTAACCAAGATACTTGGCAACTACAGCCAAAACAAAGGGGAGGAACTCGAGTCTTCATTTCAAAGGTTTATGGAATGAGCAAGTATTATGCCTACAGGTTGCCTTTTTCAGTATCACCTGCTCCTTCCCCAACACAAGGAGAGTAAACAAAAGGAATTTCCGTAACGAATTTCACAGGTTCCACATTTCCTAAAAAAAAGAGGTTAAATGGAGGGCTTAAACAACTTCCACATCATTAAAAATCTTCTCTCTCAATAATGTTTTCTTTTCACTGCTCCTATCCTTTTCGAGTTGTATATCCTGGTAAGGAAGGAGGAGCAAGAGGGATACTCAAGGGGCTCAACAATACCAACTTAACTTCTCCCACATCCATGAAGAACAAGCCGGGGACACAATGGAAAGCCGGGCCAGGCTGTCTGGACCTGATAAAGAGGCAGTGGCGTCCTTTCCCACTTCACTGTGCAAAGCACACTTCCAATCTCCCGACACTCCGTGATTGTTAGTTTATCAACTGAGCTTAAGTTCAACCAAACTTGGTAATACTCCCTGCAACTGACCCGGAGCCTGATTCAAACGTAAAAATGAGTCCACTCCTCTAGCGCTTCCAAACTTCAGACGTGGTACACTGAATTTTATTACACCTGGTGGAGAAAAAATAAAAGCATACACCACACTACGTTACCGAATTCCAAATTCACGGGAGAATGGGGATTTCGGCGACGACTTGAGGAGTACCTGACCCAGAACAGAGGACGAAGAGCGCTGCCTCCGGGCCGCGGACCCCTGTCCTTGGGCACGCCGTCACCTGAAGGGAATGGGCTGCTGCTTCCTTCAGCATCCCTCCACACCTGTAATCCCCTACCTCAAGATCAATCAAAAGCAGGGGGGAGAAAGCGTCTTCTGCAGGCGCAAGAAAGGCCACAACTTGGATGAATGAAACTGGGCTAAGGACTCCCGGAGCGGGATTTTCGCTGGAGTCAGAAAAAGAAAAGTCAAAGATTTTTTAACATGAGAGCGATTGCAAGCGACCGGGATACAGATAACGGCACAAACACGCTTTGGAGGAACGCTTTATTGGACGCGGACGTTCCGGGCGGCAGGCGGGCGGCGGAGCGGGACGGAGCAGGCGGCAGAGACGGGGCCGGAGACGAGGCAGCTTCACGACGGGCGGGGACTGGCCGGAGCCGGGCTGAACGCTCGCGCGTGTGCTCCCGCGGACCTTCCACTGGACTCCCGCGGGCAGGCGCCGGGATCAGGGTCGGGGTCGGGGCCGGCTCGGGCCGCCCCGCCCCCCGCCCGGCCGGCGGCTAGCAAGGCACACCCTCCAGGCCGCGCACCAGCGCAGGCACACCCCCGCCTCCCGCGCGCACGCGGCCGGGCCCGGCCGGCCCACGCGCGCCCCCACCCCGCGGACGCCTGCCGCCTGCCGCCCGCCCGCCCGCCCGCCCGCCGCCCCAGCCTCCTCCGGGCAGCGCAGGGAGGCCCGGGGTCCCGCGGCCAGGGCGCGCGGGGGGACGGCGGCCTAGCGACGGCGGGGGTGCCCGCGCGGGAAGACCGGCTCCGAGGGAAGGTCACTTACCCGCTGCATGGCTTTCAGGATTAAAGCCAGCTCGTAGCGAGGCATGCCTGGAAGCTCGATGCGTGCCGCTCAGAAGCGAGCCGGTTCCCGGGACGCGGAAGGGGCGGGACAGCGGGGACGGCGGGGACCTAGAAGCTACTGGGCCGGAAGGCTCCCGGGCGGCGAAAGCACGCTCCGGCCGCGCGAGCCCGGGCTTAAAGGCGCTGGCAGCTGCGCAGACGCCGCGCCACGCCCCCTCGGCGTGCCCCGCCCCACCCGCGCTCCCTGCCGCCGCCCCGCCCCCTCCCCGCCCGTGGGCTGCCGCCGCGCCCCCTCCGCAGCCCCGCCCCCGCCGCACCGCCCCCGCCACGACCCCAGCCCAGCCCGCCGGCAGGGGCTAGGGGCAGCGTTGTGCGGACTCGGCCCCGAGCGGCTCGCGGCGGCCGCACGCCCCCTCACGACCCTGCCTGCCCCCACCCCGCGTCCCGCCGCCCGCCTAGCCTGCTACCTACAGCTGTAGAACCGGCTGGAACTTTCCATGCCTTCCGTCTCCTACCGGGCGGCGGGCTAGTGAGTGCCCGCCAGTGCGCGTGCGCTGCGGTGCGGTCTCGTCCGTGCGCGCGCCCCTCGCCCGCGACTCCCGGGCGCTAGGGACCTTCCCGGCGGAAGGCGGGGTCGCGGCCGGCCTGGGGGCTCTGCGGCCCACGGCTGCTCACAGGGGTTCTGGAACGTTCCCGCCCTTGGTCGGCGGAGGGGTGTCGCTGGCGTCCACAACCACAGCCCTCAGGCCTGGCGCGGCTGACACGGCCCCCCACCCAGCGAGGGGCGCGCTGGCACAGGCCTCGCTCGGCGAGGCGCGGGCTCGGGTCTGGTGCCATCCCTCTGCGCCGCGTGACCTTGGGCCGGCCGCCTGTGCGGAAAGTCGGGACCCGATGCTTTGAGTGAGTGGATGCACGTAAACGTCCGAGGATGGTGCCTGGCACACACGGGCGCGGCACGGGCATTTGTGCTGTGCGCCTGACCTGCCCCACGTGTTGTAGCCGAGGGCCGGCGAACACCTTAACTCGCTCCCATTTCTTGAATTGTTTGCTCAGCGGCTAGGCTGAATGGGAGACCCTTTAGCAACTGTCTACGGTGGGCGGTGGTGCGCAGTCTGCACTCCCCACCCCTTTTACACACACACGGTTCTCCGCCCTCCAGCCGCTGGCTCGGCACATGCAATTTTCCCCGGCACCTCTCCTTAGAGGTCCCGTGCAGCTGAGGCCCCTGCCCCTTGCTTGTCTCGTTAAAAGCTCTGTAAGTGAAATGTTTGTCGACTTAAAGTGCTTTAATGTTACTAGGTAAAGTTTAGTGAACACTTACTATGCTTCAGGCCCCCTGCCAAGGCTGATTGATGAAGGTGCCTCCTAAAATTCTCTCGACAGCCCTGAGGTGACAACAATTCTTTACCTGGCCAAACTTCAGTCAGGCTCCTGAATCTTCTAGGGCCATCTGTGCACTTTCTTGTAAAATCTAATTCTAGCACGGAACCCCCAGCCCCTGATAGCAGATGAGGTTCCTCATGTCTTTTCACCCTGGCCTGTCTTCTGCAAGAATCCTTTAGATCGGTTTAGCCAGAATTCCTCTTCCCGCTGATGGTTCCGCTTAGTGATTTGACATGGCCATAAATTCCCACTTGCCCACGCTGCATTCGGAGTTGAGCCCACTCTCCGCACTGCAAGACCAAGCTGCCCCGATCCTTGTACCCATCGCGTTGGTCCTGAATAAAGTCTTCCTTACCGTGCTTTAGAAAGCATAATTGAGGTTTTTTGTTTTTGTTTTGTTTTGTTTTGTTTTGTTTTTGTAACAGAGGCCAAGCACTACTAACCCCATTTTAGGGATTCGGAAATACGGGCACAAAAAGTTTTGTAACTAGTCCAAGGTCATACAGTAATAGAAACAAAGTACTTTTACCCGCCACTCTACCCTTCCGGCCTCTGGTTCTCCTACCACACAGATCAACATGCTGCTGTTACTCAGTGGATTAACCATGCAGTACATGTAAACCAAGAACAGAGTCCCGTTGTCACCTTACCCAGAGATGTTGCCATTTCACATCTGTCTCCCATGCATCTTTTGTGGCATATAGCAGGTAGAAGAAGATGAACCCAAGTTTTTCTGAGATAGCTGGATTTCCACATTTTCTATTCGTAGATTTGCCTGCAACCCATGTTCTTTGAAAGAGAAGCCACACAAGTAATCCAAAATGCCTGGTTAAGTGTCAAGTAACTTCATGTTTGCTTTAAACAAGTAGCATGCTATAAATAAATAACAGAAGGAAACAAGAATTTCTGGACCTTCAGAAGTGAGTTACAGGCCGGGCGCAGTAGCCCACACCTGTAATCCCAGCATTTTGGGAGGCCGAGGCAGGTGAATTACTTGAGGTCAGGAGTTTGAGACCAGCCTGGGCAACATCGTGAAACCCCGTCTCTACTAAAAATTCAAAAATCAGCTGGGTGCGGTGGCGCATGCCTGTAATCCCAACTACTTGGGAGGCTGAGGCAGAAGAATCACTTGAACCCAGGAGGCATAGGTTGCACTCCACTCTAGCCTGGGTGACAGAGCAAGACTCCGTCTCAAAAAAAAAAAAAAAAAAGTCAGTTACATATTTTCTAGAAAGGTCTCACTCACCTCGACTGTCCCCCCATGTTGTCAATTACATGACCCAGTTTAGGAATGAGTAAATGAGACCCCATAGTAATATGCCAAGTCAAAGATGGAGGCAGCGCAATGAGCTCACTTCAACTCTGAGCATTTCCTCTTGGAAGCTCTCTAGTTTTCCCCTAATGCGCAGGGATGAGTGAAGACCTGGCATCTTCTCTACTCCTCTTTCTAACTTGACAAGTGGTGTAAGGCAATTAGCCTGATTGCATAATGCCTCACCACAGAGTCAGCACCCCCAAGCCCTCCCAATCTGGTAGCCACTCACAGACTCATTCCATTTCTTAGAGGAAGAGAGAGGGCAGCTACCGTGATTTTCCTCTTTAACTTTTTTTTAAAGCACAGAAGTGGCTGAGTGCGGTGGCTCACACCTGTGATCCCAGTAATTTGGGAGGCCAAAGCAGGCGGATCACCTGAGGTTGGGAGTTTGAGACCAGCCTGACAAACATGGAGAAACTCCATCTCTACTAAAAATACAAAATTAGCCAGGAGCGGTGGGACATGACTGTAATCCCAGCTACTTGGGAGGCTGAGGCAGGAGAATCCCTTGAACCTAGGAGGCAGAAGTTGCAGTGAGCCAAGATCACATCATGACACTCCAGCCTGGGCAACAAGAGCGAAACTCCATCTCAAAAAAAATAGATTAAAAAGCACCAAAGAGAATGCTTGGGCTTCATTTAAAAAAAAAAAAAAGATTTTTTTTAAATCACGAGGAATGCTGTTGCAGATTTAGTGCCTTCCTACTATAACTACAAACTTAAATTCACCAAAACAGTTTTTAACTTCACACTATGTATAGTCAGCATAGTAGAAGTATAACAATACTGTAGCATTTGATCTATTAATTTTAAAATTACTCTACCTCTTAGGTTCTCCAAAACATTTATTATGGTCTGAGTTTCAGATTTGATTGACCACAAGTTTGATTAATTTTCAAGTAAGTTTTTTTGAGGGAGAACAGGAAAGAAGAATAAGAACAGAAGTTGAAACCCAGCCCTATTTTTAAAAAGGGAACCTCAAGATACACCCTGGCTCAGTTTAATTACCTTTACCTTCTTATTTTATATTGCTGCCTAATGAGACTTGACCTTGAGCTTTAAATCGTTAATCCTCAAAGATGGTCATTACTTTTATTACCAAGTCTAACATTTTGAGCATTCACTATGAGCCAGAACTTATTGTAAATGATTTTCATATGTTAACTCACAGTTCTCACCACAAAACTAGGTATTTTAACAGCCCCCATTATACGTATAGGGAAAAGGAGACTTCATAAGGTCTTCAGCAACTTGCCCCAGGTCATGCAGAACTCAGAGCCTGCATGCTTAACCCTAATACCACACAGCATAGTGTTTCTGAGCCAGTACAAACTGAGCAACTATCTGTCAATCAGCCAAATTTTATTGTAGTCCTACTCTCCCCTCTCCCCTGGGTGACTGCAGTCTCCCACTCCCTGTACTCATATAACACACTCCCTTGAGTCCCCAGATTCTCGCCTTTCACAGACTTCTTCCGTCTGCCCTGAAGCATATATAGGTCTAGCAAGGTGGGGAAAAGCTTTTCCATAGCCATGTTACCCTCTCCAGTTGTCATTCTGTTTTTCTTCTCACAGCCACATTTCCCCAGACCCACTGCATCTCCGAGCCTTTGCAGTCTGTGTTCCCTCACGCTGTCACCACAGGGTCTTCCATTTGCCCACCACGTAGCAGTTTCCCTGGCATCATTGTCAGGGACCTCTCTGCAGTCCTGAGGGTCTCTTTTCAGCCATCCATGATCCTGTACTCTTGGGTTTTCTTTTGCCTCCTTGGTCCCCATGTCTGGCTACTTTTTCCCCTCCTTTCCCTAAATGTGGCTGTTCCGCAAAGCAAGAAGGTGTCTCAGCAACAAGGATTTAAGGCGAGACTTGCCCATAACATGAGTTCCCATGATCCAAGTGCATTGGAGTTTGGCCCTGAACAGCTTTAAACTGATCTTTTCTGCCAAAATCCTGGTATACTGTAACAGTACAGATGGGCAATGGAAAGTGTATAAATGAGTGATCTCCTTATCTGTAGATAAAGAATCTGATAAGAAAACAAGGTGCATGATTTAGCCCAAGCCATAGAGCCCTGGGGTGGCACAATTCAAAGAAAAACCTTTTGCTTACCATATTCTACTTCCTACTCAGGCACTTCGTACTATGATGACAGTTTCGCTGTTGCTAATGGATGAATCCACTATGAGTGTGATACTCCTGTATTCTAAAAGGTGAGTTCTTTTTCTTTTCTTTTCTTTTTTTTTTTTTTTTTTTTGAGACAGAGTCTCTCTAGTAGCTGGGATTATAGGTGTCCATCACCATACCCAGCTGATTTTTGTATTTTTAATGGAGACAGGGTTTCGTCATGTTGGCCAGGCTGGTCTTGAAACTCCTGACCTCAAATGATCTGCCTGCCTTGGCCTCCTGAAATGCTGGGATTACAGACCTGAATGACTGCACCTTGCCCTAAAAGGTGGGTTCTAACTGTCATTGGGAAGAGGTAAGATAAACAGAAATCATCATTCTGCTTAGATAACCTTGTGTCTCTAAATACTGCCCCCAGA